AAATATCCCTAAAATTCATCTGGAACCAGAAGAAACCTAGAATAGGAAAATCAATCCTAGAAAACAAAGGAAAGGTAGGAGGGACCCCTAAAATTCATCTGGAACCAGAAGAGGCCTAGAATAGCAAAAGCAATCCTAGAAAACAAAAGAAAGGCAGGAGGGATCACAATTCCTGACTTGAAAGTATACTACAAAGCTACTGTGGTGAAATCAGTATGGTACTGGCAAAAAAAAAACAGACCTGAAGATCAATGGGACAGAATAAAAGATGCAGGTGCAGCTACAAACACACTCATCCACGTTATTTTTGACAAAGAGGCCAAACATGTTCACTGGAAGAAAGATAGCCTCAACAAATGGTGCTGGAAAAACTAGTTTTCCACATGCTAAAAATATATCCATGTCTTTTACCATGCACTAAAGTCAAAATGGAACAAAGATCTAAATATTAAAACAGAAACAATATCGATTGAAAGGGAAAGTAGGTAAAAACCTTGAAGACACTGTTGATATGAGATTGGTGAAACTGTTGATATGTAGATTGGTGAAACCACTCTGGAAATCAGTTTGGAGATTCCTCACAAAACTAGGATTAGAATTCCCACTTAACCCAGGTATTCCCTTTCTGGGTATTTTCCCAGAATAGTTAGAGACATCAGACCTCAGTGATATATGGGTACCCATGTTTCTAGCAGCAGAATTTGTTACAGCTAAATCTTGGAAACTTCCAAAATGCCCTTAAACTCTCTTTCACTCATCTTTCTTTCTTGCTGGTTCTCTCCTCTCTTTTTTGCACACTTTTTTTTCTGCCTATTCTCTGTTTTGTCTTTCTCCTTCAGTTGGACACTTTTATTTGGTAATGCTAGCTTCCTCCATTTCCTTTTTGAATAATGCTATATTGTGCATATCAACATTTTACCTATTCACTCACATTAATGCATTTTGTGGAATTATATCTTTTAGCTGTTTTGAATAGTGCCATAATGGATATGTATGCACATTTATTTGTTTCAGGATGCAGTGGTAAGAAAAAATACTGAAATTACACTCAGGACTTGGAGGCAGATCTTGAACTGGCTTTACAGGCAGGAAAAGTATATGTCAACAATTTAGAAGTTTATAAACATTTTGTCATTTTGAAACCTCTGGACTTGTGGTTGAATTTCTAATTCAGTCTCTCATGGCATGGGATACTGTTTGATGGCACGCAGATCTTGCCCAAGGTGATAGACTCTTCTTAACAGTCTATCAGGCTGATGTGTGGCTGGGTGCCTGTTTCTGCTTCTTGTGACATCTAACAGCAACGGGGGTCATGGTAAGGAACATCATTGATGGTCAGTCTCCGAGGTTTATCTTTAGTCTATACCTCTGGGAGAAGAGTTTTTGGGACTTCAGGATTGTGGTTACCTGTCTCTGACTGATGCAGGCATCATTTTTCTAATGGGGAACAGCAAAAATTATAAGTACAGGGTTAAATGAGAGGGAGGCTGACTGGCTTGGTGCAAAGGAGATGGTAGCTTCTAACTTGAAAAGGAGGTCTCTTCCCAGAAGGAGTATGAGGACTGTCTTACACAGGAATTTCTGTTTGGTGAGATGTCCTCCTCGGCTGCAAGTTTGTCCTTGGCAGAAGGAGTGAGAGGACAGAGTCCCAGTTGCCCTGGTGATGGTAGCTTTTTGACAGGTCTGCCATTGACTTTTTCAGTGACTGGGCTCTTAGGACCCAATTTGATAGGGTTTTGTCCCTCCTATCCATCCAGGCCTGACAGGGTGAGGAGAGGTTCAGGATGAGATAGCCTGGGTAGTCAGATTTCTTTGTGTCTCATAGATGGAGGGGACATTTATTTTTTTGTGTCCATAGCCCTTATAACTTGTATACAGAGGGTATAGGCATCCATTTAGCTGGGTTTTCTTTCTGACATCAACTGCTTTTCTTTTTTGTTTTTTTGCAAACAGTGGTTGGTGGGCTCTTTGTCCCCCGTTTTGGTGTGTTTGAGCAGTGCTCAACTAGGCTGTTTCTAGGTGAGGCAACTTTTGAGAAAGGCCATGGTAACTCATTTGTCAGGGCTGACAGTCTAATTTTTCTTCAGTAAAAATGTAGCACTCAGGAGGAATTGTTGACAGTCATCTTAGGTTTGGGTTAGATGATGCCATCTGACCAGGATAGGCATAAACATGAAACAGAAGGCTTTGGGGGAGGGCCAGGCTGCTATGGGCAAATGCAGGCAGTGGCTAGCTGTAAGTGGTCCAACTGGCTTGAAGTAGATGAGTCAGGAGTGGGGAGTGAAGCTATAGGTGCTGGCAGCAAGTGCGGTGGCCAATGATGGTGCCAACATAGAGTTCTCAGGAAGAATGGGCCTCTTTTTTCTTTTATTTGAGATTCAGGGAGCAGTTTGATTTCATTTCTAACTCTGTAAAAACCATTTTTCCTGTAGTGGGGGATTGTGGGTTTTGACTAATTAATTCCCATCTCTGATTTCCTACATGTGTGTTGTATACCCTTGAATGATAGCACAACAGCAAAATGGTGGATACTCCTCAGAGACAGAGACCATTCAGATGCTCACCCGGCCACACCCTTTGTGGGGACTGATACTAGACTTAGCTAAGGAGGGGGCAAGATCTCCATTATGCCATATGTCAATCACCATGGAACCATGGGTGAGGGCCCAGTATGCCTCTGTGACCAGTGGTTACAAGTCCTGATGCAGACGAATCTTTCATAATATTTGGATGTACAGATGATATGCTTGTTATTGTGATAGACTATAACTGGTATGTATCACTTTCCTCATCACTGAGACAAATACCAGACATACACAACTTGCAGGAAGAGAAGTGTATTTGGGCTCAGGGTTATAAAAGTTTCAATCTATAATTGACTGGCTTCCAGAGAGAAACAGCATGGTGGAAAATCCTGGCAGGGGAAAGCTGCCTACCTCTTACTGGCTAAGGAGCAGAGAGAGAAGGTAGGAGCCAAGGAGGAAGATACACCCGTCCAGGTCATGCCCTAAATTAGCTGCCACTTCCAACCCCATCTCCCAAAATCTATTAATACAACACTGTTGTGATCCAACCACCGTCCGAAGCCCACCTCTGAGTGCATAAGGATTTTGGGAGGTCATTATTGATCCAAATAATAACAACTTGGTTGTGGTCATTGGTCACCTTCCCATATTACATAGTGATTAGGGACCTTCACCTCTGTATCTTCATATATCTGTCATAATTTTTGGTTAAATTTTTGGATCCCCATCACAAAGTATTATTGATTTACTATCCACTTGATCCAAGGATGTGGACATTTTAAATTTCTTCTTTGAGCTTCTCAGATAATTCATCTGGTCTCTCTGTCATCCTCAGCTTTAACAAGATCATGGATATTATTCATATCTTATTTGGGATTTTTCCATCTCAAGGGTGATTTTCTACTGCTATAAAACTGTTTCCTCCATTTTAAGAATCCCATTATCACATGGGAAGTATAAAGCTTTCTCCTTGTGTGATTCTAAGCCATTAGTTATTTAATTATTTTGTAGACCAGGCCTCAGAGTGTGTATATTTTAAGATATATTGCCCTCCCCCAAGAACTGTTTATGAAGCCCTTTTATATCATGCTCATCAGTATTCTGAATCCGTTCCTCTGCATTCTGAGAAATAAAGGTATTAAAGGATACACATCATAGCATAACCTCATAACCTCATGACCTGTGATAGCAATTTGGAATGTAGGCTGGAGGACAATTAGAGTCATTGTCTTGCATCGTGAAGAAAAGCATGAAATTTGGGTAGTCAAATGGGAGAGCACCAAAGTAAAAATTTTCTGATGTGAGTTCTCTCAAACATATATATCTAAAAAATCTAACCTCTTTGGTGAATTATTTTTGTTATGGTATCTATGATTCCTTACCTTGTTTTAGAGTAGAGTGATTGTTGCCATGGCAGGGTGACAAAAGAATGGGAACTTTCAATTTCAAAAGATAAAAAAATTCTGAGGATGGATGATGGTGGTGGTTGTATTAAAAGTAAATGTAATTACTGCTATGGAAATATGCAATAAACAGTTCAAAAGATATCTCTTGTTATCTATATTTTGCTATAACAAATTATGATCTAAGATGCATGGATCTAGAAAAAAAAATGAGTACAAATAGATACCACATATGATCTTTTTATGAATAGAAGAACCCAAAACCTGCTGTATGTATTCCTTTTCTCTTCACTTTCTTCCTCCATTGATATGAAGAAGTCATTCAGGATTGGTTAAAAGGAACCAAATTCAGTAGTTACAAGTGCTGTAAATTAGCCTTAATGGTCATATAAGCATAAATACAGGTTGTATCTTTAGCTCTTTAGTTTGGTGGTTTCAGGCAACTGGATTCTACCCATGGTCTTCTCCTCCCACAGTTTTCTGTATGTAGAATGTCCTATCTGACTCTGTATTCATATCAGTTCTTAGAAAAAGACATATCTTCAGTTTTTGACAGTCATGAAAGTAACATAGAAACTAGTTTTCTTCATCATGCTCAGGAAAACAGCAAAATTTCCAAAGTGCTAAATGAGATGATGGGTAAAGAATAAACTATTAGAACCAGTTTCCCATCATGAGGAAAAATATGAATGTTCGGGTAACAAAGTGGGAGGGTGGCCATGTGCAAAAGTTTATATATGAATTCTGTGAACTTTATGCATTTGGTTATGTTGAGGGTCACATGAATGTCATTCAACAACAGTATGCAATGTAATAACCATTGTTGAATTCCTACCATCTTGTTTAGTTAATCTCTGTATCATTTCTAATTTTTTATTATTTGTTATTGTATTTAATTGTTTGATCAATCTTGCATTCTTACATCTGGTAATCTGAGAAACTTCATTGAAGATAAGAATATGTAACATAACAACCATTGTTAATTCCTATCATCTTATTTTGAAATCCTTTATCTTTTTTATTGTTTTTGTGTTGTTTTGCTTTTGTCTTCATTGGAATATTATTCAAAATTTTACTTCCCTTCCACACTCTGATTCCTTTTGACCTTTCACGGAAGAATGTGGTTACTGTAATCTGTTTCATAAGCACTGCAAAATTATTATGAAGATGAGGATGAGGAGAAGGAAGATGATAGTGACTGTTACAGCTTGTGTCTAGATGTCCCCCTAAAGCCTCACACACTCATGGGTGGGGATTTTCAGAGGTGGCTGGATCTAGGATGTGAGATGGTAGAATTGATTCATAGCACAATGCTAGGCTCAATGACACTAGGATGAAGAATGCTATTGCTACCAGCCCTAAGTAGTCTGGATAAGAGAAAAGGGGCAGAACTACGCTGTTAATGTCCCTTGTTGTTTGCTACCTTTGGTCTCAAATGAACTGTTACTCCTCTGCCAATGTTCACCCTGCCTTACAGCCAGACAATTATAGACTGAAACCTCTACAAACTGTGAGCTAAATAAACCTTTCCTCCTTCAATTTGAGGATGTCAGATATTTTGTCTCCACAATGAGAAAAATAACTAAACCAGTATCCATAATATCTTGAACAAATGTTGAGTCATCTATAAATGCCAGCATCTGAGGTAAATACTCTATGACAGTTGTTTCATTTCTCTGGCATGATCTTTCCCAAATATAAAGCCCTAGATTATTACTTTACAGCAAAACAGGAAGCAGTACATATTAATGGAGCTACTTCCAGGTTGTTTGCTAGAAAAGAGAGAAATCACATTTGAGTGTGATACTGCAATCAAAGCACCCATCCAGGTTGCCCCCTTGCCAACTTCAGACCCTGCTGGATAACAGATAAAACAATTGAATTTGATGTATGTACTTCACAGAGAGATGTAAATGTGTGTTTATAGATGCATTGTTACATATTGTGGGTAAGCGAAATTTTGTTGTAGATGAACTTTAAGTATTTTACATAAATGTTAAAAGAAAACCGTTATAGTTACATAAATTAATACTGATGTGAAAACACTAAAAATATGCTCTCTGATTTTTCATCATTATTTTCTTTAAAGGACAGGTATGGAGGGGAATAGAATTATACAGAGACACAGAACTCAACTTCTGTAAGCGATAGCTCAATTTTCAATGAACTATAATAACAGAAGCACCCATTTTCAAGCATCCTATTTTAATTTAAATAGTGGGTATTCATTGTAGCAAAACCAGGTAAAGTTAATGAAGATTTTTGGTATTTTGAGGTTATATCATTTTATTTAATTTTTACATGTGTTTCTCTTTATATGCATGTTGACTGTCCCTCATGCAACACATTTGCACTAGTTAGTTGGAATAAGTTAAAGTAACAATACTTAGAAATTTGTCATTTATCACAAACACTACAGAGATAGCCACAGCTATAACACATAAATTAGAAATTTAGGATTTATTGGTCTTCTTTGAAAAACGACTCCAGCCACAATCAGCTGTTACAATCACTTATGTATATTCTAGCTCTCAGGATAAGGATAATATGTATATTCTAGCTCTCAGGATAAGGATAATTCCTGCCAAATTCACAAGTTAATCTCTAGGCTTACCAACCAGTTTGCATGGCCAGTTGCCTTACCTGCTCAGGAGAAATTCTATCTCTTTCAAACTGGTCTGGTTGGTATGTTCACTTTCAAATGAAAAATTGGGTGCCCAATCTCAAAGCCAAAGAAGTGCTGTTGGTATTTCAATAAGTTATACATTTTGCTCTGAGTCAGAGCCATAAAAATTGAGTTGTCAGTTATAGCAACTTTTTGGTATAAGTTCAATGTCCTGAGTAGTAGCCACCACTTGAAAATTTAACTATGTCTCATAATCTGTAGAAACTTTGATTTGTGAACGTGCACTTGCTAAAGTTATGATTCCTCCTAGTCTAATACATTATTTTTAAAATATCAGGAAATATCCCCAATCATGAGCAAGGCACAAATTTAAACTACAGTGGGATATCACTTTCTACCTTTTGGGCTATTTTCCAAATCATTAATGATAATTGGTGTTGATGAGGAATCCTTAAAAAAAGAGGATTGAAAAGATTAATGAAAGTAACTTGGTGTAGTCATTAGGGAAGCACTGAGATTTCTCAAATAATTAAAAACAGAAATACCAAATCACCCTGCTATTCGTACACTTCACCTGTGTCCAAATCATCTGAAATCACTATGTCAAGTATATTTTCTTTAACATAGAGTCATTTTCCACAATAGGCAGCATGTAATTAGAAACTAAGTATTTGTCAACAGATGAATAAACACATATATATGTACTTAATGGAACACTAATAAGGCATAAAAAGAAAGAAATTTTATCATTTGAAACAACAAAAATGAGTCTGTGCAACAGTCTGTTAAGAAAAATATTCCAGGCATAGAAAAACCAAAAGTGCATGAATTAACATGTAAAATGTAAAATAGTCAAAACCAAGACAGTGGAGATTAAAATGTTATGTATAGGATGTTGTGGATCAGGGGTTTAAGTACATGCATGTGAACAGAAACAAAATTACTGATGGGAAGAATAATTTAAAGCAATCTATTGTACATTATGATGAATAGAGTTAGTAACAAAAATGTATATGTAAATACAAAAAGAAACACAGACAAAAAATATACTTGTAAAGCATGTTTCTGATAAGATACAAGTATCCAAAATATATATAAAGAAATTCTAGAGGTCAGAGGCAAAATGGCATTCTGCATGATTGTAAAGTGAACAAAACTTGAAAACCACTGCTACACAGATGACACAGAAACGCTTAAGAAGCACTGGAGTTGATAATTATTCCCGAGGGAATGCAGATCACAGTTACAATGAGATACTCCTTCAAATCAAACACATGAACTTATACCCAGAAGAGTTTGCTCTAAGATATTCTAATAAATGAAAACCAGCATATTCTTTTGCTGCTTAACAACCATGTTAGGTGCTGAGTAAAACTTTGCCAGTGATCTTTGTCATTCAGTGTGCATTCATAAAAAAGACCATGACTTCACTAGGTAATATAATGATATGGGCCCACTTGAGCAGATACAGTTTGTCATTGACTAAAGCATCATTCTGTGATGTATGAATGTACAGAAACAAATATGTCTGCATGCATAACCATTACAGCTCTACTCATAATAGCTAAAATTTATAATAACACCAAAATGTTCAGTTACCAAAAAAGGCATAGTTTATATACACATTTGGATATTATTTAACCTTAAAAATAAAATGGAAGAAGTTAACAATACCAAATAAAAAATCCATATGAGAAAGGCAGTGAAAATTGGAAGGACTGAAGCAGGGAAAAAAGAGCTCAGAGAAGAAAGAAAAGTCAATGAAGAAGGAAAAAGGAGTGAAAAGAAGAAAGGAAGAAAAAAGAAAAAAGAACACTCATAAGCATAGCAGTATCTCAGAATTTCTTCATGCATAATATCACAAGAAAACTAACTTCAAAGATAGATTTCAGCTTTTCACATTGAAAATCTAATTATTCTCTTCTAGAAGGAAAAATTGCAAGCATAGGGATGCGAGCTCAGTATCAATTTCCCTTCAGATATTATGTAACTGAGAGAAAATATCTTAAACATTGCTTTCAGAAATAAATTCATAAGTATAAAACAACAAGAATAATCCTGATATGGTAAGTACTGCGATTGTCTTTATTTCCTTTCATCAGTTAAGAACAAGGCTATAACCATGTTATGTCGAAGATCATTAATAATGAAGCAATTGTTTTCTAACAAAAAGCATAACTGCACTTGATACAAGTATTCCCATCATGTTAAAAAATCTCAGAAATGGCTAAGAAATATTACAATACTTAACATTTTATGCACCATACATAGAGCAAGAAATACAAGGAAAACTACTAGTGAGATGGTTTAGAGGAAACAAAAATATTCAAGAAAAAGATATAGGTGCTTGGGGAATACAAAAAAAATAAACGTCATTTGGGGAAGAAAAATGAGCCATTATATGATATTATAATTCACAATATTTTACATTTTCTTTAGGGGTTGTAATACTCCCATAGTTCTGAAGACACCAGCCCATGAAAGACAAGATGCTGCTCTGCTGAGGAGTCTGCCCAGGGCCTCCTTCACATCCTTGTTCCTCAGGCTATAGATGAAAGGGTTCAGCATGGGGGTCACTACAGTGTACATCACAGAGGCCAATGAGTTTTCCTTGGAAGACTGGGTTACAGCAGAGCTGAGGTACACACCAAGTCCTGTTCCATAGAACAAGGAGACCACACAGAGGTGAGACCCACAGGTGGAAAATGCTTTATACCTGCTTGCAGTGGAGGACATCTTCATTAAAGAAGAGACAATCTGAGAGTAAGAGAAGATGATCCCAGAGACAGGAAATACACCCAGTAGGACAGCTAGCACATTTAGAAAGATGTTATTGATTAGGGCATCAGAGCTGGCCACCTTGAGAACCTGAGGCAGTTCACAGAAGAAATGAGGGATAACAGTGTCCATAGAGAAGGTGAGTTGCATCAGCATGAGAATATGAATCAGAGCTACCCATAAGATGATGAACCAGGACATTAGAACGAGGAGGCCACAGAACCGAGAGTTCATGATGAGTGTGTATTTCAGGGGATAACAGATGGCCACATAGCGGTCATAAGCCATCACTGTCAGTAGGAAATCATCCACTCCAAAAAAAATCATAAAAAAGTATGCTTGAGTGATGCACTCTAAATAAGAGATGTCTTTTTTCTGTTCCTGAATGTTCAACAGCATCTTTGGGACTGTGGTGGAGATGAAGCCAATGTCAACAAAGGACAGATTACAGAGGAAGAAGTACATGGGGGTGTGGAGGTGGGAATCAGAGGTGGCAGCCAAGATGATGAGCAGGTTCCCAAGTACTGTAACCAGGTACATGGACAGGAACAGTCCAAAGAGAATGGACTGAACATCTGGATCCTCTGAGAGGCCCAACAGCAGGAACTGTGACAGCCTGGTGTGGTTTGTCGCTTGCATTTCACTACTGTATCTTCAGAGATAAGAAACAGCATTTTTAACGGACAACCACCGGCTCTTCAGGTGGTTACCACCCCTGGATACCATCTCTCCATGAACACCTTTCAATTAGTATTGTGTCAGACAGTGAGAATGGTTCATTCAGCAAATGATGGCTCATTTCCTTTTCAAATGTGAAGAGCAATTCACATTTCCTTTAATGTATCAGAAACTTCTTTTTTCTTTGTATTTTTGACTCACTTGTTTCAATATTGAAATTTTAATTATGGACACAGTTAAGTGTTTTGTTCAATATCAGTTTTATAAAATGCATACTTTTCATCTATTTTCTTTGAGAGTCTCTATGCTTCTTTATTTTACTACCTTTACAACAGTGATTAAAAAGTGATTCCTATACACTACTTTAGTCTATGATTTGAAAATTCATTGTTTGCTAATTCTCAGTGCTATATTTTCTTTCTAAAAATACAGTTACTATTGATACACTGTAAAACTTTAAAACATGCCTTCATTCTCACTGGGAGCCTTAGTAAATTACAACTATCACTATTGCAATTGTCATGCTTATTTTCCTTTTGTTATTACATTAACTTGGATTTATAATTATAAATTACTTTTTTAAGGTGTGATTTAAAAATTTGGTTCTTGAGTCAGAGTTTCTGGAATAAAACAATGGCCAACAAAAATAATGTCTTTGTTACCTGGAAAATGTAATTGAAACTCTAATAGCTACAACTACCTCACCTCTGCAATGGCAATAGTGCATGTTCACTAATTGGAAGGATTAAAACAAATTTAAATAAAATGAATATTTTGGTGCCTGAGATACAATGGTCAACCTGTAAAGACAAATTTCTATTCTTAATGTCTCCGCAAATATGTCTTACATTGCTATAATTTAGCAATATCTCTTTAAATTGTGGCAGTTACTATTGCAGGGAAATTTATCATTATGAATGCAGCTGGTTTTTACTTCTTTTGCCCACCATACAGCACTTCTTAAAATATGAATATTTATAGAGTCTTATTCCTAAAATTAATTACTCCAAGTAGAGGTAAAAAAAAAAAATGGTACTATATAAATTAAAGGAGGAAAGGAAAACAATCACCATTAAATCAAATACAAGGCATATGTGCTTATGTAATTTCATGTGTCTATTCTGTTGAGCAAAATGTATTTTTAAAATCAGCAAGTTAATGGCCAATGTATGTAGTGATAGGCTTGATTAAAATATTCAATGGTTATATAAATAAAATTATCCTATAAACATTAAAAGTAGAAATGCAGATTGGCAAGTACTTTTAGATTCTTCATGAGAAAAAGCATTACCATAAGTAATCCCTCATGATTTTTAATTAATATGACAGAAGAATATTGTAGGCAGCTGAGTCTGAAAAGGTGGGTAGGAATGTCTTCTCTAAAGGAGGAAGCATTGAGATGTCAATTATAATGGATGAGGAAGGGAGAAGCACTTTAGACTGAGAGAACCGAGTGTGTGGCTTCCATAACAGACGTTGTGTTTGAGGTTGTGACAGCTGCTCAGCAGCTGTCTTATAAGGAATTTACATGGTGCCTGTCACAGTGCGGGTTCTAAACAAGCACACGTTTGTCGTACACCAAATGTCAGGATCAAAATTTCTACTTTCACCCTACAAACTTAAATCCAGTTTAAATTTTTGGTCTAAATTGAAATCCTGCAACTTATCACAAGCCTTAATATAGAAACATAACTAAGTAGTAAAATTTTAAAAAGGCATCCATAGCTATTTCAGAAGATGTTGGTTATGATAATTCATCACAAAAATGGACCAATGAAAAACACCCTAACAAGGAGCATAATAGGAAAATGTGTTTGAGAAATTTTTACAGACTTTTACCTGATTAGCATCACATGTGAAAATTATAAGCAAATAATGAAATCAGGGGTGTTTTTCTAATACAGAGAGTGCTTGTGTTTAAACCATGGCCAACAGAAGAGTTTACATTAAGTTGATCACAAAATATCACAAACAATAATGGCTTTGGTAGATGCTATTGTAGACACTAAGATGAAACTATAAATATGATATATGGAAAAATAAGGACTATCAGAAAGTGGAAACTGCCTGTGAAAATAGGTAAGGACTATAATAGACAAACATCTCTGAATTTGGAATAAAGTAGGGAATGCCTCATTTATAAGAGTTTTTCAGTATGTACTAAGTAACCAGATGCAAGAAAATGTATCCATCCTGAGACCATAATGTTAGGTGAAGTAAATATGACACACAGGCTTAAATTTCAAATGGTTTCTGTTATGAGAAACCCTGAGTAGAAATAAATAAGAGGTAAAATAAAAGATAGATAAATGGAAATCAGGAGGTCGACCTTTAGCAGAGGGGAAGGTGAAAAGAGATGGAGGGAAGCAGAGGGGAGAAGAGGATACAAATGGAATTAGGATGTGTTATGTATGTGTTAGAACTCCCAAAAATGATTGCAATCATTATGTACTGCAAGTATATAATAATAGAAATTAAAATTTAAAGAAAAAAGAAACAATAAGAGACTACAAGTTATAAGAAAAAATGGTGAAGACTTGGAGACTCTGCAGTAACATAACTGTTATTAGACAGAGAAATAGTTTCTAAACAGTTACAAATGGAAGCAGAATAGCTAGAAAAGGTAGCTGTCCCTGAAGCTTTTCCTCTATCTGTCCCTAAAGCTTTCTCTTCTATAAGCTCTTAGGTAATCCCCTTACCTTTTCAGATAAGATGACCCCACAGATAAACATGAGGGCTGCAGGTGTGTATTTATACATTCTAGAGTCTAAGGATTTGTCTCTCAGAGCTCCTAATTAAACAAATTGCTGCATAATCTTTTAAGTTTCTAAACATTCAGTGCCCTTGTGTATCAAGGGGGAAAAAAAGGGTAGAAAATTTTCAGTCAGTTTTGTGATTCTTGAGGTAGCATTTTTTTTTCATCAAGAAGAAGCTCACTGTTCTGTAGTTTTATTTCAGTATCACAAGTTTTGCTCTAAGCAATACGCAATTTCTTCATGAAAAGTATTCTGTGAAAATTCTCCCTGTGGTACAACTATTTTGAACAACCTTTTTAAATTTTATCGATCATTTGTTTTCCACAATGGTACAGACTATCAGAAATCTTTTCTCATAATTTTTTCTCAAATTTTTAGTTTTCAGTTCTATACTTTAGATACCAAATAAAATATCACGCATTTTGGTGTCAGCCCAGGCAGGGCTGAACCCCAGAAATTTTCAGGAAGCCAGGTGAGTCTGGGCTCTGCCTCCCTGATCAGCGTGCAAGGCAGGTGAAACCTCAGGCACCCTCTGAGACCTCGGTGGCTACCCGCCACACACATAGTGCGTCGCCCCAAGCTGGGCAAAACCCCAGGCATCTTCAGAAAGCCCGGTGAGTCTGAGCTCTGCCTCCCTGACCAGCATGCAAGGCAGACAAAACCTTGGGCACCCTCTGGGGACTCGACGGCTACCTGCCACACCCATAGTGTCGGCCTGGGCTGGGCTAAATACCGGACATCTTTGGGAAGTCCAGTGAGTCTGGGCTCTGCCTCCCTGATCAGCGTGCAAGGCAGGCGAAACCTCAGGCACTTTCTGGGGCCTTGGTGGCTACCCACCACACCCATAGTGTATCTTCCGTGGGTGGGTTGAATGTTAGACACCTTCAGGAACCCTGTGAGCCACTCTAGCATCTCTCCCACTAGAGTGTGAAGCGCGTGGATCCCTGAACAACTTCTGGGGCCTTGGTGTTCACTGCCAGAACAACTCACACCCTCCTAGTAGCTCAGCTGAAATCTGAACATAGTCAGCGGCCTTGGGGAGCTCACCCTCACCCCTCCTCTTCCAGTGTGGGAAGTAGGCTCTGCCTTGGGCAGTATCTGAAGCCTTGGTGAAGACGACCTGAATACCACCTTATCCTTGTGGAAGCTGGGCCGAATCCCAGACAGTCTCAGGAATGCTGGCAAGCCTCCCCCGGCCTTCCCACACACTCCTGGGAGAAACTGAATGTAAGAAAGGTCGGGAGCATCTGGAACTCCACCTTGCCACCACTCACCAGCACAGGAGCTACACTGAGCACTGGGGATCTTCAGACTCTCACCCTAACACTCACACACAATCACGACAGTGAGATTGCACTACAGGGAGTCTCTGGTTCTTCAAAAATGACAAAATGAAGGAGCAAACTGCAATCTCAGACCTCCACACCACCCAAAACTAGTCCAGGAGGCAACAACACAGAAGTGCCTGGAAGTCATACATCTGAAATTTCTGAAATGAAAGCAACTGAAGTAAAGAAACAACTAAATCAGGCCATAGAAGACATCACATCAGAAAAAATGTCTCAGGTGAGAGAAGAAATGACAACAATATCGAGAAAAATGGTCAGTATATCCAAAGATGACATAGAAAAGAAAATAGAAGAGCATAGACAACTTAATAAAACCTTCAGGGAACAATATAGAAAAGAACTAGAAGGTATGAACAGATGCAAACCCATATCCAGGAACTTAAAAATTCCATTGAAACCTTGCAAAACTGACTGAATGAAGCTGAAGATAGACTTTCAGACCTTGAAGACAGCATTGTCACTAATGAACATGAAAGGAGGAATCTCTTAAAAAACAAGGAACCAGGAAATAACAATTCAACAATTGCAAGACAAAGCAAAGAGAAAGAATGTCAGATTAATAGGTATTAATGAAACAGCAGGTGTCAACACAAATGACATAAAAAGACTATTCACACAAATAATAGCAGAAAATTTCCCAGACACGGTAAAAGAATCAGACATCCAGATAAGTGAAGCATATAGAACTCCAGTTAATCATAATAATTTAAAAATAAATCTACACCCAGACATATAGTGACCAGATCCCAGAGACTCAACAAAAGCTCAGAATATTAAAAGCTGTTAGAGAAAAAAAACAGATCACTTATAAAGGCAAGCCTATCAGAATCACGGCAGACTTTTCAACACAAACCAT